AGATTTGGATATACGAATTGGCGTAATGATGAGAGCAATCGGGCCAACGATGAGAAGTACGATGACACGTACGGAAAATCACTAAACGATATACGTGAGCAATTTTATCCGCCCAGAATACGTCGGTTCAGCTTTATTGATTACAAAAATGATGTTACCGAGTCGCTCGAAGACACTTTGAGAAATGAGAGATTGCCTGAGAATGACGAAAATATTTATGACGAGCAATCTTTGTCCGCCGACGAGCTTGAATTTTTGGAGAACGAAAAATTGCCGGATTACACGTTGCTGAAGCCTTCCTCCAATGATGAGACAAATGAGAGGAAATATGAAAGGGCATTCTCCAGGAAGTATAAACACAAAAAGGAACCATCGCGTCTCGAATATTTCGATGCTGAAGCGAAAAGGACGATCAAGCGCGACGAGGATCTAGATTATGAGAATAGCGAAATTCATGAAGAGAATTCAGAAAGCAAAAAACCTGACGAGGATACTTGGAAGCTACGCGGAACAAAGTATGGGATGTATACTGAAGGAGGAGTCATACAACCTACGAAACACAAAATTACATCTGATACAAGTGGTAGGTTTATTTTTTGAAACGAGATTGCTTAAATATCTTTTTGCTGAACTAAAATATATCTAACGCAGGAATTGCGTATGACGAGATGTATGACGACGATTTCGATGCGCTTTTATGGAGACGAGAATTGGCTGGTTTTAAGCGCAGGGAACGCCTAGATGTTAAAAAACCAGGACCGCCGTTTTCAACGAATAATTATGCATTTAAAACTCAATCTCCAGCCAGTAAGTGAAATATATATTTCTATATTTGCATTCTATTTTACGAATGGCTCTCCTATTATTTTGATCGTCGTTAATATCCCAAAGGTACAATTGATAAATACTTTGATTCATCAACTTATGATCTTTGTTTTTGCAGGCCCCAATGACAAAGATTATCTCGAGATGGACAATCAGGACGTAAGTGTAATCAAGCTGATACTTCGCTTAATAGACTAGACATTATACACCAGTGTCGCATTGTAGAATAATGAAATATACGTACCACTGACTAAGAAGGAATTACGCGGTAATATGTACAAAACGGACGATAGCCGACCAGAAAGTTACAACAACGTCAACTTAGATTACGTCTACATTGAGTTTGAGCAAGAGTTTCATACGTGGCTTGAAGGAGTACATGTAGTTAATAAGGTAAAATAGAGTAGAAGAACAATTTGAATGTAAATAATTTTGGACTTAATGTTCAAAATTTAATAAATTTTCAGGTTGAGGAACTTTTAGGATTGCCTCTCGGGACCTTGAAAAATCCACGAGTAGGCCGCGCGGAAGTAACGTTCGAAGTTGGAGACAAAAATTACAATGCAACAGATGTGGTTAATAACATCGGTATAGTAATTTACGTACCGTACTTATTTTATATAAATATGAATAGAAAAAAATAGAGAAAAATGTGGAGATGTTGCATAAGATGCAAGATGAAAAATTTGTATAAATAAAATATATTTTATTTTTAGATAATATACGTGGTAATTTACAAAACGCGCTAGGAGTCAAGGTTATTCGAGCCGGTATAGGCGATAAGGTAGTATCGTGATATATTTTTCATTACTAAATAGACAGATTATAGGATTGCCGAGTTTTACACATATATGTGTATACGCGCCATGTGTCCATACATATACATAATATTATTTTAATATTATCAACTAAAATAAAAATGCATCCTTCACAGGTTAAATTACCGGCTACTCTGGAAGTAGCTAGAGAGAGCGAAATAAATTCCAACTTTTTCGGTGCATTAGTGGCCGCTGGAGTTGCGGCTGCGATCGCAGCTGCAGTAGTCACGTTAATAATCGCACGTCGTCATGCCAAATGTCGAGCGAAGCTTGCCGGATTAGCTACTCCAGATCCAGAAGCATCCAAAGATTATCAAGACCTATGCAGAGCAAGAATGCAAGCGAAACAACCGAGTGAGAAGTTGGAATCGCCGCGCATCACCAGCTTGTCGCGCGAAAATGAATCCAATAATTTGCCCTCTAATCGCTCCAGCACATCTTCTTGGAGCGAGGAACCTACTCTCTCCAACATGGACATATCGACTGGTCACATGGTTCTTGTAAGCATAATAACAAAGAGAGAAGAAGAGGATAAAAGAAATTTTTAATGTTTTTAAAATAATTTTAAATCTTAATGTTTCAATGTTTTTGTCGTATTTGACAATATAACAAATCACTGTGTTTTATAGAGCTATTTCAGGTTTATAATTTCTGTTCTATATCAAGCTCGTGCGTATTTCTAGAGTTACATGGAGGATCATTTGAAAAACAAGGATCGTCTAGATCAAGAATGGGCAGCATTATGCGCTTACGAAGCCGAACCATCGTCTACGGAGATAGCGGAGAGCGAGGCAAACATCAAACAAAATCGTCCTGGCGCGGCATTTCCTTACGATCACTCTCGAGTAGTCCTGAATGATCTTGCAAACGCTAATAATTCCGATTACATAAATGCTTCCACGATCGTAAGTATCTTTATGATATTATTTCTTGTTTCATCACTTCTGCAATATGTCCTCCTGAAACCTGACATTTTTTTTCGAAAATGCTATAAAATATTTGCTATAAATATTTCTAGTGCTGAAAAATATTAAAATAGGGTAGTAACTCTGTAAATTAGGATTCAGGAGAATACTTCGATACGCGAAGAATTCAATATACTTGATAAGAAAAAAAATTTTTTTATTATCTCAAGATAATCGCAAGATAATTTGTATGAAAATAAAATATTTTCGTTTTCACGATAATGTTGCTGAAATACATACAACATTCGGTTTTCTGGCTGTCACATCGCAATATATACATATAGAAATCGGTAAGTCACAGTCGATGGGCATGTCAAGTTGATCATTTAAGAATCGCAAAATCGTTTCGCGATGCAATTTGTAAAGTTGACGCTTGCGGTAGGTCTCTTTTTTTTTTTTTTTATTGCATTATAACATAGCGAACAAACTGTAGCATGTTTATTAAGCAAGCTTTGATTTTTTAACTGCACAACTTGCAATGTATGGTCATATATTATGTTTATCTGATTATATATACCCGTGTCGTGTAAATGAGAACTTTGAAGGAAAAAGCGAAAACTAGCGAAATTTGATGGGACGCTTTATTCGATGGAGAAGACTCGAGATTTGAGATAATTCTGTTTTAAATTGTAGAAGAAATAAGATGGTGGCTTTTTTTAATAAACATTGAGTTGGACCGATCGATTAGGTTTATAGATATTTTATTATTTTTTTTTAATAAGAATAATAAAGAAAATAGATAAATTTTTCGATTAATCCAACGTATTGTTTACTATGAAACGTTTGTTAAGTTTTTTTCATTAAATTTGTAACTGCAATGCTTTTTTTATTCGTTCGTTGCAGACGGATCACGATCCTCGAAATCCGGCTTACATAGCCACGCAAGGACCGTTACCGCAGACCACGGCTGACTTTTGGCAACTGGTTTGGGAACAAGGTAGCGTGGTGATCGTAATGTTGACACGACTTACAGAGGAAGGTCATGCTATGTGCCATCGTTACTGGCCCGAAGAGGGATCGGAGCTCTATCACATTTACGAGGTGCATCTAGTGTCGGAACACTTTTGGTGTGACGATTATCTAGTGCGCTCCTTCTATTTGAAAAATTTGCGAACTTGTGAGACCCGTACCGTAACGCAATTCCATTTTCTTTCTTGGCCGGAAAATAGCGTTCCATATTCCACAAAGGCTCTGCTTGAATTCCGTAGGTTCGTATCGTATATAATTATCGTTTACCGTTATTTTATAAGAAGATGCACTCTGTCTTCCTTTATTATTATATAATTTATTATGTTGTATAGAATTTTCCATCCCCCTCCCCCCCCCTCTTTCTCTAATCTTAATAGATTTTTTATATTTATGTCGAAAAATTTAATTAATAATATTGTATTATGTATACAGTTTTTATAAAAAAGAAAAAAGAAGCATGTATATTATATTGAACAATGCTCAAAAATAATTTTTCAAGTTGTCTCATCCTCTTTTTTCTTTCTAGGAAAGTTAATAAATCATATCGTGGAAGATCATGTCCGATAGTCGTACATTGCAGGTAAATATACATTTTTATGTTACCTATAAATTAATGAGTGTTTCTGGATATTCCTGCATTTGCTCATTCGACAGCGATGGAGCTGGACGAACTGGTACTTACTGTTTGATCGACATGGTCCTAAACCGTATGACAAAAGGTGCGAAGGAAATCGATATAGCTGCTACTCTTGAGCATATTAGAGATCAAAGACCCAATATGGTTGCTACAAAACAACAATTTGAGTTCGTCTTGATGGCAGTAGCAGAAGAGGTACATGCGATTCTTAAAGCTTTACCCGTGTCGGGTGAGAAATCTATTACAGCTACCGGTTCTTCGCCACCCACAAAATCGGAACAATGAAGCTAAAGTTGCGGCGCGCGAATTTAATCCTAAACGATATAAAAAAGGTCTGACGATATCTTTTTAATCTAATAAATTCAGTCAAATATTTCTTATTCTTGGTGTTTTTTTTTTTTTTTAAATATATAAATTTGAAGTAAAAATAGAAAAATTTAATGTTTTTACAAAATAAATTTTGAAATAAATTTTGATTTTTATTAACTTAATATCATTGTTATGACGTATTATGAGAAATCTTTGATTGAGTAACATATGTCTGTCGGCTATTTCATATTTTTCAGGATTAAAAAAATAATCGTATAATCGAAAGAGAGATACGAACGAGAGTTAAAGGTATCTTCTATTCCATTGATTTCGAAGTATCATGGAAAAGTTAAATACTTTTACTAGCTGTTTACTACGATATATCCTACTGGAATAAAGATCAATCGGTTCTTGGATCAATCGGTTTTTCCGTTGAAATTTTCTACACGCTCAGTACTTCCTGATTAACACACTTTCGCGTAATTAGTTTTAGAGTGCACCAATCGTTGCGAGCTTCTTTCGTATTCCGATTGTATTTCTCCGAAATCCGAAAAAAATCGATTCAAACTTCAAGATCGAGAGAAAAATATGCAACTGTATAATCAGACAGAAGTACAGATTTCATTCAAGTATATAATGTGTAACGAGAGAAAGAAAATAAATGAGACATGTATACGTTAAAACAAACAGCTTAAAGTAAACATGATAAATGGTATGAAGGAGAGAATTTTCATTCTTTTTACTCTGTAAGATGGTACTGTTTTATTACATCGACTAATTACATAATTTCCCCTTTTCTTCATTCTCACATGGCCTATTTCAAGGGTCAAGTATTCGTAGACAACAGACAGACAGATAGACACGGTTGTTATTCGAGGCGTACGCAATATATCAACAACTGAATTAAATAATTATACTGTGCGATCGATCGGTGAAACGACAGAATGTTTTATACTGATAAGATCTAACTAGCGTTTCAATTTTTTAACGTTAAACGCGGCCGTTTGAGATCGGAGTTTTATTTATTTTATAAGACTTATATTTATAGTATATCAATCATGGAGACTGACGATCAGACTGGCTGCGTTTAGCATTATGTGATGCGAATACAGGTCGAGATTTTTATCGTCTCTCGTGGAAATGTATTGTTTTTTGTAAACGAAAGAATCTATGGGATATTTATATGTAAAATCATCTCTCTCGGAAATTGTATCGGATTTTAATACTTTATTAAATGTACGTATTACAACGTAAAATATTTGCGAAAAACAGGACACAGAATTTTTCACGTGTACATAATTTGTGTACATCGTGATTAAATTGTATCAACTTCTATGTGTCCTTCAAGTAACGTGCTTTAAAATAGCTTTAAAAGAATGAATGAATTTTTCAATCTCGAATTCAGTAAATAATAATCAGCGTAAACCAATCAGCCAAGTCAATTGCATGATACCAAAATACGACAAAATGTAAGCACAAATTTAGTTTAGTGAAATTGTTTACACTTTCGTAACAGCAACTTTGTTATTTCCTTTGTAAGAAAATTCTTAATGTTCTGTTTATTTATTTTATAGATTAGATGAATATTATTCGTGAAAGTATCAAATATAAACTTTTGTTACACTATAGATTTTTAGACCCGCGAATGATCGATCGGACAGCCACAATTAAACTATTATATTAATTCATTCAAGAGAGGAGAAGAACCGCGTATATTTGTACTGCAGAATAATCTAGTCAATCGTTAATCAAAGTTTTTTTTCCAGAATTGCTATAAAGGAATTGGTAACGTGACTTGATGTTTTAAAATATTGTATGTGTGTGTATGACGATTGTGTTTTGCTGGAAAATTATATAGCTTGATGAACACGTGTATGTACGCGATGTTACAGATTAATACGTAAAATGATGCAGATTATATAAATGTATATGCTACTAGGCATATTATATTCACTATTTTATTATTGTTTAGTGATTAAATTCGCATCAAAATTTTTGACATGATTTTATTTATATTTTTATTTATATTACTCTCCGTGAACTTATTCCCTACATATCTGTAGTATTTGTTTAATTTGTTGATATATGAATTTTTTAAAAAGACGAATAAGACGAATATAACGATTTTTTAATTTAAATATATTTTTGGATACAATGTCAAAATTGATGCTGAATAAAATCAGTTTGAAAATAGTGATAAGTTTAAGGATTCATGTTTCGCGAGCCTACATAATTATTTAATAGAGTTGCATGATGCAAATATTATTTTAGAAGGGATTCTGTAAAGCAGGAACACTAATGTACCTTGAAACTGTGTCAAACTTTGATCACTGCAACTGAGTTTGATTAGCCTTCTTTAGCACCGACTGAATCACGAAACAAATTCTATATTTTTATGTAAAGGGATGACTCTATATAAAAAATGAGATAATATAATTATATAAATCTATACTATGTTACCCAAAATATAATACTATATACATGTTGTAAAATAATAAATCAATCTATGTTCAAGCCATGAATGTGCTTATGTTTTCTTCCGTTTACATTTTAACATGTTATATTTATTTGTATATCATATTTAAATTTCAAAATGAAATCTGTTAAATGTTAAATATATTTCATATATTTAACATTTAGGTTTACAAAGATTTCTATTAAAAAATGGAATACATTAATATTAATCGAAAATATTTATAACATTATAACATTGATCGAAAGTATAGTTATGTAGATTTGATATATAACCAAAATTCTTATTTTCAGATCAAAATCAATTTTTCTCTGAACAGTACATATTATTTCAGAAAAAGATAATCCGATGTAATCGATTTAGATCGTAATTTAAAAATAATTACAGGACAGAAAATTTTATGTTTCTAACCTCTCATTATTTTGTGAATGTAGAAAAACAAGAGAATTATAGGATTTCTTTTATGAGAACATCTAAATATACAATTATTTCAGAGTAGGAAAAGTTCCTAAAAAGAATTTGATATTTGGAGAGTACGAATAATGAAAAATACAAAAAAGACTAACTATTCTGAAAGAAAAGAGAAGCCTGATATTTTTAAACTTTAAAAACTTTAGTTTATTTTTTAATTTATTTATTAATATTCATTATTACATTATTAACACTGACTTGGAAATAACGAAATAACTTAATGCTAATTGTGATTGCAAATCTGTACTTTATGTACACATTGAATTATAAGATTTCTGTATTACAAATCACATCAAAGTTCTGAGAACCAGAATCATATAATGATACATTTCAGTCTTAATTTTGTCGATATGTAGATGACAATGTTTCAGGAAATTCTGGATCCCAAAAACCTTTAAAAAGATTACATTATATAATATGTAAAAAAAAATGATAAAAAATATTATAAAAATGAACAAAATATTATACCTTCTGGTGTTCTTGGCCTTTTATATTTGTGTCGATGCCGTGAGCACTGATTTTTTCGCTTTTGTAATTCTTCTTTTGATAATGGCAAATTCTCATAATACTAAAAATAAAAATGAAATAGGAACTTGTTTTTTTTAATAAAAATATTTGCTTTTGTATATTTTTTATTATGTATATTTTAATATAATTTAATAAAATTACTTCTCTGCATTCCCAGCAATCCCAACCATTTAACTTTGCTCTGTCAGCTTTACATCGTATGTTAAGTTGTTCTGAAACATCTGTTTTTCTTTTTGGCAATCTGTAAATAATATTTTTATGAGATGTATAAAAGATGTATAACTTATATTACAGATGTATAAAAGATATAACTTATATTATTTATATGCATATATTATAATATTTATATATTAAACTTATTTACAAACATTTTTTTTTAGGTGGCTCGTTTTCTGAGTTATCCAGATAGAAATCATCCATATCATTTCTATTTGCAGTTCGTTCTGCAGGCAAGTAAAAGATTTTATCTTCAAAAGCAATATCATTTATGTTCTTAGTAGTATTTTTCTCTTTGTTTGCCACTGATTGATTTTTCTTCTGAATTTGAACAGATTTTTTTATTTGAACATTTGTCTCATTATGTATTTTTATTGGTGAAGAATTTTCTATTGGTGTAGTACTATCTAAAGATTTATCATTCTTTGCTTGTATAGAAATATGTTTAGGCAAATATAATCCAAAATCCATATCATCTATTGTTATTTCTGGAACAGTACTGCAATATGTTTTATTTTTTTTCGGAGAAATTTTTATCTGCTTTGCAGAAACTTTCCTTTTGAGCTTTAAACGATATTTAACTTTAGATGTAATATTTCTCTGTGTAGGACTGATTTCTATTACATCCTCAGAATTTTCACTACTACTTGTAACATTATTTTCTGTAGTGGTAATTGTAGTGGTATTTGCTGTAAAAATATCTTCAATAGGATCCTGTTTCACATCATGGACTACATTGATATTTGGAGACAATGCCGTCTCCTCGTTATTTTTGACTGGATAAAATGCAAGTCGAGACTGCTTCAATTTCTTTCCATTTGGTAGAAATGTAGTTTCTACATGATGTGTTGTACTAATGTCTAATTTATGATTATACTTTGAAGAAATTTTTTCAACGCCATCATGTGTCTTCATGTCTGAGTTTAAATTATCGAATGTTGCTTTATATCTGGGAAAACGTTTTCTCGCAAAATTACTATCATTCCTTAAAGATGTTCTACAAAATACTGGACTTTTTGACGGACTATTTCCATCGGTGTCTTTATGCAGAGATTCATTTAGATCTGACAGATCAGTTTTTGTATCGAAATTAAAATTAATAGGACCTATGTTTAACGTTTCTGGTTCTGGTAATGGAATACTATCATTCTCCGACATATTGACGTTATTCAACTGGTGAGAGTTTGGTTCGTCTTTTATTTTTGTGCATATCGGCATATCGCGTTTATCGGCTGCTACTTGAGATGAAGGACATCTACAAAATCATACACATACGTTTTATATACTGTTATACGTACAATTTGAGAAGAATATTGTGAGAATTTATGTTGTAAATTTTGAAGTTAAATAAAGTAAAGTTTGACTTATAGTTCAAATTATATATACCAATTATAGATACCAATCGCATAAATAAGATTAAAAGCTTACATATTACGTTGTTCATATTTTTCTTGTAACTTTATATAATCTTTCCATAAATCTAGAAAACAAAAGATCATATTAGATGCATAAATCACTTATCACTATTTCCAGAATTTATATATTTAAATTTTTGCTAGAGTATACAAATAATCGTTAAATATTTAATATTATAATTAGCGACGTTTTATAAAGATAGATAATTGTCCTCGAAAAACATCAGAATGCACATATTTAAATTTCAGCGCGCTTTTTGACGCTTATGCATGAAACATAAATCTTATATAGTACTAGATACGCTTTCTGAAAATTGTATATAATTGTATATTGATTTTTAGTCCACATTTTATATAATCGTCTAATAGATATAGATTATTATTAAGCCTCGTGTCTATGATGCTAGAAATCAGCCCGAGATCTCAGACGGTAAAAGAATTCAGCAATTACATTGGCTAATTGGCCAATTATTCAAACACAATTGGTCAATTTTCTTTCCATCATGGACACAAAACTTTAGCGATAAATGTTTATTTTAACTTAAGGGGCGCATTCCGATATTCACTGCTATAATCTATGTAACTCGAACTATATATTTTCAGTACTAACAGTAAATATCGAAACGCAGCCTAGTATTACATTAGTAGCGTGCGATCCACTTGGTGCTACAAATGCTTCGAAGCATTTTTTGATTGGTTAATTCATAAAATTCTTTATTTTGATTGGTTAAGCAAATATTTTGAAGTATTTGTAGCACCAAGTGAACCGTACTCATAGAAGTGGGCTGCTCCGTCCAGTACTATATGTCCATGGACATAAAAATATTGTGAATAAAGCACAATATTGTGAATGAAGTACAAAGATGACAGAAACGAAAATAGTGTATATCTAGTCTATAGTAACGGATATAAGAGATGGCGTGATGGCGGCGAGTTGGATAATTTCACGGAGTATGATTTATTGTAACTTTTTTTAAATTTTATTCATCTAATCATCGTTGCAACTCGATTAATGTTGCGCAATATCCAAACGTGAAAATAGAAAAAGAACTCGAATACCATGATGACCACAATGATTTTTTTCCTGTCCTTCAAACTATCCTACCTTTAAAGGCCTTATTTTCGAATCATATTATACATGTCCCGTACGAAAATCCTATGGTATACGATGCGCGTATTAAAGATTTTCATATGCAACATGTATGTGATACGATTCGAGAATAAAGCCTTAGCATGCTCGAAACGGTATTTTGTGCTTTTTCCATATATTATTATATCCATGCTCGAATATTATTAGCATCGTTTGTACATACCAGAGAGAAGCCTAAGAGTGATCATGAACGCGTTTTAGCTGTACCTCCTTATTCGCGTAGATAATGTGCATTTTTGTGGTTCTTTTCTGTGTTAGATGCAAAAGTGATAAAAATGAATAGTCGTGTCCATATCGTCCGTCTTTATCATTCTTGCGTCTACAGCTAAAACGTGTCCATGATCACTCTCAGGCTTCTCTCTGGTACAACGTATAAAAAATAATTCGAACGATTGATTGCAGGTGGCAGCACAAATATTTTGTTTAGTTTCTCTTATTATATATATATATTTAGAGGACAGAAGAGAAAGTTATGAAAGTTTTTAAAAATATCTAGTTTACAAAAATCTAAATTTTGTAAATTTAACAATTTCAAAAATATGTAAAACATTGTAAAAATTATATTTTTAACTATTATTTTAAATATATTTTAAATATATTTTAGCACCTATGTCATATTTGGAAAAAGATATCGAGATATGAAAATGCTGATAGAATAATTATTAATAGACCTACTTTGATAATGTTCAAATGCATTTTGTAAGATTTTAACGAAATTTTCCATTCCTTTTTTCGCAGTTTCATTATGCACGTGACATTTCAACTCCAGAAATACTGACATCATTAATGGAGTACACTATCGTTTCGGAGCAACACGTAACTTCCCTATTTCTATTCCCCTTTCCTATTTCTTGAACGAATATCTGCTTAAACTATCTTCGAAAAATATAAATATGTAAACATAATTTTTATATTTATCTTCAGTAATTACGATCTGCATACTTACATATATATATATATATATATATATATACACCGATCGCACGTATTGCTGTTTTGACGCACTCCACATATAATAGTATATACTCTACATATACTATATGAAATGACACGTAAGTTCAGGACCGTCTATTTGGTGGGACTCAAACTGGGGATCCTGAATAATATTCACAAACTTTAAAATAGAAATTACTACTATGTCTAGAAACCATATGAAACCTATTCATAGAGCTTTCATTAAATTCGAAAAGAAATATACATATATATGTATATATGTTGCGTATGTAGACAAATAAGTAATCGATATATTTGCATATATTATTGTATGTAAAGAGGCATGTAACTACATCAATATGTTTCAATTTAACAAACTTGAATTGAGATTGTTCTCTGTTGACATCTTTATTATATATCCTTAGCATATATGTACATTGTACACTGTAAATACGTTCATAATAAATAAACAGTGCTATCTTATATAAAAAATCTTAAATGATAAATAAATATTCACATATTTTTTATCGTTACTATTGTTACACAAATTTATCAATGTTTCCCCACAGTGTTGCGTAAAAATATTGAAAATAAAATTTTTTTGTGAGAAGAAAATAGAAATACAAACTTTTTTAAAGATCTCGCGTTGAGCATCGCGAACAAAGTCTTTTCTTCTTTCAGTAAAAAGAAAATAAGCTCGGAATCAAGCTCCATTTTGGATTCAGGTTTCTACATTCGTAATATGTAACGTATGTATATGTATATACACATGTGTATCACAGACTTTTCATAATGATGCAGAAAAAAATGTTGAATTCTCTTTGTATGATTGACTGAGAACAACTTGGAAATAATTGTATTTAGTTGTATAGTTAGTAATTTAGTGTATTATAATAATTACAATACCATTGTCATTTGGGGAGAAAAGTCATATTCTAATTAAGTATCTGGTCGCGTATAGTACAATTATATTATACACTGAACGTGCATTTAGGATTAATGGAGTGATGATAATGAAGACTATAAACAAATCGATGATATGATTATAACAGACTACCATATTTTTCTTCTCTTTCTCTTTCATATATGCACATACAGGCGTGCGCACACGTGCGCGTTCTTTCTCTCTCTCTCTCTCTCTCTCTGTCACTAGCATAATTTAAAAAATAGCGATTTATATAGATTCCTTCTGATTTTATACACACGCACATACAGACGCGCAAGCATACATATAACGTACATAAAACACGGTCATGTACCATGAGACAAGTTTGTAAAATTATTACGAACTAAATGTTTGTTGCGAGGAAGTCGAGGGTAGGAAAAGATTCTGCGCCAGGTTGGTTTGTCCAGATGGCTTATTTGGTGGCAGTCGGCCGATAGCAGATGCAGTAGTGGGATTATAGGTGTTATCCAGACCATGATATGATATGAGCGCCGACAGAGCATTCCGAACACCAGCAGTGGCCAATTGGGACCATCGCCCATGAGAGCTCACGGCATCATCACCGGCGTACACCGCGTGAGCATCGAAATTGCCTGGCATATGCGGTGTACTCGTGTCTGCACGAAAAGTTACATGTCAAAAGCAATGTCAACGCAAGAGATACAGTCACCATGTATGGCTGGGAATCACAAACCTAGAAGAGGTGGATTCAATATAGGAAGATGAGGATCCAGTTGTCCGCCTGGTCGAGCATTCGCGACAAGACGAAGCTCCGCACGCAAATCGGTCAGCAATTGTCCCACCTTGGGATCACACTGTAATCAGATATATTAAGAGAACTGAATGAAATTTTATTATATTTCATTTAAAAATATTTCTTTAATAACAATAAATGTAAAAAAAAAATATAAAAATTATTCAGAAACATAACTAAAGTAGTTACCATAATTGAGACGTGTTCTTGGTGCAATATTATCACATAATAAAAAATTTTTTTCGCATAATTACCTCACTCTGATCTGATCGCAACGAAAGAAGATCGTCCACTCGAATTGGTTTTCCCTGATTTAAGGCATTCGTAAGAATCATTAATCTCCGGGCAAGATTATCTTCTGTACACATTTCCAACGGTTGATTATCCCCCTTTAGATTCGATTGCGACTTAATGGGTGAATTGTTAAAGTAGTACGATGGTGTAGATACTATGTACGGTCCGCTTTGATTAAACAAATTATCTTCACCATAATGAGCTTCCGCGACAAGCCTACTCGGGTGCGAATTATAGCCTGCTTCCATCTTTAGTCGTTTAGAGGATCTGTAACAAAGTTACAAGCTTTATGTGTGGAGATTCAAAAACTTATAACTTGAAGATAAAATAAAGATAAATATATATATAAGTGTAATGATATTAATCCCCTTGTGATTCACATGAGATTGATGTAAGATTAAGCAATGAAAAATTAATAACAATAATTTTTAACGTTTAATCATAAAATATATATAATCTTTTTAACATTTATAGACATTATATATTTTATATATTTATATATTTTAGTTTGACTTTGGTTGTAATAAAATATCATTGCATTATTTTTAATAGTCTAAATATATGAAGAAGTAATGAAAAACCACATGCAATTAATGTAAGCCATACAAATGTGTCTTAAAAAAGCAAGCACAATTACATAAACTAAACTTACACATGCACATAACACATATTAATGTACAAATATAATTGTAAATTTTTATTTATCATTTATTTAAATAATAATCTCTTGTAGAACAATGAAGAATAGCGAGGTATATCCTCTTCATTGCTGACGCATCACTGTATATAGTTTCTATATTATATAAAACAATATCATAAGGCGATTTTTATTATCATTATATACATTTCGATTATTATTATTTGGTTAGCAAAGCTCAAGCGTATGAGTGTGTTATACTTGATAAACATGAGTCAATAAAATTGGACACTCTTGATGTAAACATGTATTAAGAGATTTGAAATTATCATTACCTATTATATATTCTTACATGTGCTACAAAATTTGTCCATCTATTATTCACATCTATCAGCCACAATAATATTATCTCCTGAAACATAATTTTTTCCTATTAGACATTATGACAATTATTTTGTCTGTATTTTTTTATCCAATCATATATATCTATATATTTCACGCGTGTCATTTCTACATATTCCACAATATATATAAATCATAATATTAATAACAATGTTTGCGTGTGGGACAGTAATTAAAATGTATACATATACACATTATAAACTTTTTGTTTTTGAACTACTTTTGTTATACATTACATTTTATTACATTGTGTGCATGCATGTGTAACCTTTGTTAGTTAAATGCAAAAAAATTATTTCGTCTTATGTTGACAATTGATAATTATATTTTATATGCTAATAAAATATTTATTAATAATATAGATGAAAATATGATTTTTACTTTATATACATTTGTATAGTCAGTTAAAGAAATTTTTTAAAAGCTATAATACTTAAAACAATGAAAGAGAATCTTACTGATATCAAATATTGTAGTGTGATTAATGTAATTTTAGCTTTCTCCTTTTTTTTATATATATATTCTTATATGCCATATGTATCATTTTTTATCATTATTGCTCCTGTATCAAATAAATCATGAAACTAGTATATGTATCTTATAAATTCTCGTATATATTATCAGATTGTACATTTATCCGTAATAAAAGTCATATGTAAAAACATGTGACATATTTTAAAATATTATATTTTCCAAAGCATTTTACATTATTATTTATAAATGTATCTACCATATATACAAACATTATTTTATTACGAATGTATACTCTGTATTGATAAATCTTTACCTGTACCTCCACTATTGTATATTTTTGTACAGAATACATTATAATAAAAAAAACAAATTTCTTTAAATATTAAAAGACATGGCATATTTCTGAAATATAAATTTACAATATAAAGATTGTTTCGTTACAATGGTCTATTTGTTCTATTGAGAATATTATATAAAAACCATAATTTTTCATTATTTTTTCACTAATAATTTCTTTTAAATCAAAAAGCAAATATATATGCTTTTTTATACCTTTTTCTTTTAAAAACATGAAAAAGAATTAACATTGTTTAATTTAATTAATTGTTGGATAGATATATGAGAAAACATCTACTTTATAAACAAAATATATCTCATTTCTTCTGTATACTTATTATATTTACACATATATACCTGTCATGTGTAGAATACGCGCACACACACGCACACAAAATCTATGCGAGTACGCATGTATGCATGCGCCTTTTTGATATGTGTATGTGTGTGTGTGTGTGTGTATATATATATATATATATATACACATAATACATATATAAGTTTTTGTTGATATAAAGAAAATTTTGAATCTTCCTATTATATAAAGAAAAATAGTGTGTATGTGTGTGTGTGTGTGTATGCGCGTGTGTGTATACACACGCACACACACACACACACACACACACACATATGGTATATATATATATGTATATATGAGAATGTGCATTATATATATAACAATATCATAAATATAATAAATACATACAAATCCAAGAATCCGTTCATTTTTTATATCATTTATAAAAAATTTTAATTCATTACTGCACTACACATAGTAAACATTTTAATATTCATTCTCATATTTATGCTATTGACATATTATATTTGGTTTACTATCAAAAATATGAGTCACATAAATATTTATCAAAGAAATGAAAAATTCGATTTACCTGCTTTTATTTCTAGAAATAAATAACGAAAAAAAGTTAGATATATCAAAATTATTTGTGGAATACGTAGAAATAGTAACATATATTTTATAATTATTTTACATATATAAATCAGTGAACGCTGGTAAATAAGTATTTCCTATGAAAATCTGTCGAGTGCTGCTCGCTGAATTTTTGGAAAGATGCCAGTATATAATATAAGCATAAAAATAAAAAGATATTAGAACATAAAAAAAATTTAATAAAATATTTTAATAACATTAAAGATTCATTAACTGCTTTTTGAGTAAATGTGTTAAGTATCGCAGCATTCGAATATTGTTTTACATGACATTATTTCAGGAAACATCCGAAGACTAAATTTCATCATAAGGATAATATCAGCTAAAATAACGCACATGCAAAAAGAAACAAATAGTGCAAATACTAATGATACACAATACACAATGATTCGCCATTTGTATATATTACAAGAAATTCATCATAACTACCTATAAATCCGTAAATTGTAATATAGTGGTTAGGGATGATTAAAGTATAAACATATGCTTCAAGATGAATGTTTAGATAAATCGGATTAATTATAAATAAAATTATTAACGTGGAATCAAAATTAATATCTTCACGATCTTCCACACATTTTAGTCTTGATCTTCTTGTATTCGCCTTGTTCGTTCTTCCGATGCAGAGTATCCTTCTGTATTTTGCCTATATATTTACATCATAAAGCCTACAACTTAGACTTTGTCTATCTGTACAGGTTATCGCGTTTTACGCACTATCTATGGGTAAAACTATATATTTTTTTTTAAGAACAATAAAGAGAAATCACGTTGACGCGATCTCTATATTTATTTACAATTGTTCTTTTTTTCGATTTTTTCACTTGTGATTGAATATAAAATACAAAGATATATTTATATAGAAATATTATGAACGAATCTATCTAAAAGAATCTAAATCTGTATGCGTACACGCATAAATTGTATACAAACTTTCTCATTTCGATATTATGAGCGCATGCATGTATAATTTTCGTTTTGTGTGTATGTGTGTGTGTGTGTGTGCACGCGCGCGCGCGTGTGTGTACACACA